CTAATGGTGTCTTATTTTCAAATCCAGCATAATCAACAGGAAAACCACGTGATAATAAATAATCAATTATATCCAAACGACTATAACCAATAGCAACATTTAATGCTGATTCACGAGCCACTGATATGCAATACTAAATAGAATATATTTAGTAAAAAATGAACTATAAAATAAACTTACAGGATTATGACCAAGATGAAGAAGTAAGTCAACCATAGCAAGTCGTCCACTAGCAATAGCTGTATAAAGTGGTGTATGTCCATTTGAATCAAGTAAACACGTATCAGCTACAGTTGGTTGTTGTCGAAGACGACTATGTAAAAGTATTATACCTGCAACATCATTTGTTCGAACAGCATGATGTAAATCAAATTTTGGTAATTGTAAGTCATTTTGTTGTTGTAATGATTTTCCTGAATATGATGGATGTTGATAAGGAGTATAATGTACACGATGTTGAGAAACTACAGAGCCACCATTATGATGATGGAAATTATTTTCAGTCAACATACTACTCGTGATCAAGATGGAAACAAACAGAAGCAAAAATATATATATATATATCTAGAAGAAAGATATCATTCATCAGTCATAAGAACAGATATATGCACCAATGACATATTCTTCCTATTGTCGTCATTGTTTTTTTGCATTATAGTTAAACTTTTCTCATCGAATATTTGTCGTTTTCTTTTAATCAAATGCATAAGAAAGAAAACTAAAGCTTACATTTGATTCACATATAATTCGTGAATCGATAAGCAAAGAAAAAAAAAAGGATTTTTCTTTTGCTTTTTTTCTTTTTTTTTTACTATTTATTAAAGTACATGTCTCTATTGATGCCGGTGTCAACTGTTAATATTAACAAGGAAGCAGGAAAAAAAAAATGATCGGAGACATCGACCTCTATTCTTTCGATTTATATCGCAAGCATTATATCTTCATCAAATACTCGCTCATATGTGTCATCACCAGGATGAATATGGCGCAAGTCTCCATTTGCTATGTACTCTTATTTCGCTTACATCTAATCATTCATCATTTTCATTTGATGATTTCATTGTCAACTATATACAATGATGCAAAACCTTGTTGTCATAAGATATATATGAATTATTATTCACAATGAAAAATGAAACGTAAAAAAACAAAAAAAAAAGGATATACAGAAAAGAAGAAAAACAAAAACGAATCATAGTCTATAAATTTGTCACGAATACATTTACATTCACCTATTATCAATTTACTAGTATATGAATATACATATATGTATATTATTTTGACAATCAAAAACTTACTGTTACAGTCTATAATAATGTATGCATTTTTGTTTCATTTTTGAGAAGTACATTGGCATGTCTTTCTTTTCTTTACATGTTTTGTGTGAGTTACATTCAATCATTCATTTATTTCAAGATGAAAGCATCATCGACATCCACACCACTATTACTACCTTTGCTCTTTCGTCTACCGAAAATGAAAAAAGCAGAAACGAAAAAAAAAGAAGAAGAAGAAGAAGAAAAAAAGACTCGAAATCACTCAACTCACTTAATAGTAAAAAAAAGAACAACGATGCAGATAAAAAGAAACAGCAATATCGTTGTTATTATTTGCTGCTACTACTGCTTGTGTCGATAGGCAAATCAAGTAATAATATCACGCCGACAGTGCGTGTTCTGGCCCTTTTCTTTCTTTTTTTTTCTTTCTATTCCGAAAAAACCACACGCGACAGCTGCCCGTCGAGAATATATCGTTAAAATATGATGAGAGAAAGGAAAAAAAAGGAGCAGGAAAAAGCAAGCTATAGCCTTGCTTCATCGGAAAACAATGGGGGCGATCTCTATTAGCAATACGTGGGCAAAAACATAGATGAAGAATGGAAGTAGTTTTTCCACTTATTATTTGTTCTTATTTGTAATGACGTTTGTGTTTCAATGCGAAAGAGAAAGAAAAGAAAATAGACAGCTTGTTAAGTTAGTTGACTACAGAATTTTCGAGCCTCGACATAAAATAAAAGTGTTTCTTTTTATTGATTAACGATAAACAATCAATAAAAACAAAAACTAATATAATAGAGACTACGAAAAAAACAAATTGTAGAAAGTAAAAACTTACTTCATTAAGATGTAAACGAGGAGACGTATAACATGAAAAAAGATAGTTTGATAAGAAGACGACGAAAAAAAGAAGAGGCAGAGTGATAAAAGATTCTATGAATATAATAATACAAAAGAAAAAAAAACAAATAACCTTGTGAATATTATATAAATATAATTTAATCTTTTCTCGCTTATTTATCTGGTCATTTATTTTTGTCTTAAAATGTATTTTACAATCTTCCATACAAATATGCTCGATAAGTACGGACATTTATAGTAAATACGTCATTACCAGTATATAAGATAAAAATGCAAAGAACAATATCTTACTATTTCTTTTTTCGTATGCTACTCATATGCCTCGAATTACTATTTATTGAAACGAGAGTTAATACAATAAATTTTTTATTTTATGATTTACGAATGAAAAATTTAATGTCCTTCGATCAAGGCTAAATATTGTCTGAGACGCAATCAAGGATTATTCGACTTAGTTTTTTTGAGAGAGTCTCCATGTCAATATCGACAAAAGTGCCCAGTATATGAAGCACTCATAAAAATTTGTCCTTTTTTTTTTGATGTACATTTGAAAATCAAAAACTCTTAGGCCATTTCGATACTCTATAGAAAAGTCAACCTGTACTAATTTACTATGAAAAATTTCTACTAGAATTATGCTTCAACAATTTACAGAATTTCGACTATTTGTTCTAGTTTATGATAGTAGGAATAAAATTCATATGTGGATGTCGTAATGTTTTTTTGTATTATCACTAGTTAACGATTGTAGTGAAAGCAAATAATTGAAGAATATTGTATGTTACATCATCAACTGATAAAAAAATTACTTTATTTTCATTATCTAATGTTGATATGACTTGCTTTGAAGAAGAAGCTGATATAATCATAAAATGATTGCGAAGTAGTAGCGCAAAAATTGAACATATTAGTTGATGGTTGAAGTATGCACACACTAAAAAATAAAAATATGTATCCTAATCTGTCTTCTAACTATTCATGCATCATTTTATTTATCGAATACAGCTACATATAAACAATTTAGTTGAACATACTGAATTTGAATATTTTCTTATGTCATTTTTTTTTTCTACATGATCGAGATCAAACGAAATCAAGATGATTAGATGTCAAAATTCGATCATTTTACCTTCAAGAATAGGTATTACGAATTAGAATTAACCTAAAAAGAAAATAGTAATTATTTGCTTCTGTAGGAAAAAGAAAAAAAATGCGTTGAAGACTGGGTTCGACCCGTGTTATCAAAATGGGTCGCGTTGTTGCTGGACAGAATATATCATATATTGTGTTCGCGAAGTACGACATATGTGACATATTTTATTTGAGTGCATGTCATTGACCTAGATTTAGTCATAAATAGTGGACTGTAAAGATTAGCAATGTAATGAATAAACGAAGTTGAAGAGAAAAAAACAATCTTGTCATTAATGTAAGTTTTATTACTTTTGTAAATGTAATAAGTTCGATTTTATTCAATAATACTAATATCTATTTCAAAAAAAGAAAAAGTATGAATATTTTTTGAATAACTTTTGATAGAAACTAGGCAGAGAGGTGCAGTTTTCATTGTTTAAAAGAGGAGATGAAACTGCGTCGAATTATCTATACCAATTTTCCTTGAACAAATTTTCTTAGAGTCTACCATCAAGTTTGTTAAACACAAAACATTGTCTAATGGAAAAGTTTTACGATCTCAATTTTCAGGAGTGTACTGTATTCGATGCAGTTTCATCTTCTCTTTTAAATGGTGAAAACCGAATTTTCCTACCTAGTTTCTATTAAAATTTAGTCAAAAAAATACTCACACTTTTTCTTTTTTGAAATAGACATTAACTTTATGAAAGTGGGAAAAGAAAATGACGAGAAAAGCAAAGCACAGAAACTTCTAGAAAAGAAGATGTATGTGCGAATATATAAGTACTCAGGTAGAAATATAATACGACATCATAACAATGTCTTACTGTAAAGTTAATATTTATCTGACTATAAGATCATATTTTTAGGATCTCACTTGTACAAATAGTTTTATATAACAATAGTTTTGTGTATCTAAATAGATATTTAAGTAATTAAATAAATTCTAATTTAGATGCTACTTTTTTAAAATTGAAAATACATCTACTTTGTAGTAGGACTGATCTGTTAAAACATAATTTCACAGATAATTTAATTAAATAGGAGTCGACTTTTTCTATTTGAACTTTTTAGTTTAGATCATTTTCATAATTAAACTTAGGTTAAGCGCATAGTTTTTGTTTTTCATTGAGCTTTTATAAGTTCTATAAATAAGTATACATACGTGACTAAAGATAAAAGAGTTTCTTCAGAGACCAACACGAC